TGTTTTACCAAAACTCCCATAAAGGTGTGGAACACTGAAAAACTAATTTTTTAAAGAATATTTCTGATTATAATCGGTCACTCTTGAGTTTTTCATGCAGGCTGAACATGAAAATAGTCTCCTCCACCTATCTCCTGCTTTGGCTTCTGATAGAAAATAGATGCTGAAACTCTAGAATTAGAAAAGCCTGACAGATCTACGTCACACTGTCACTTAACATTCATGGACTCACCCATCTTGGCTCGCGTAGGGGAAGGCTGTCGTTGGTTTAGCGTCCAAGAAACAACAGAAAACATCTCGGCTAGTTGAAGCTAACTGTTAGCATTAGCGACACACAGCAGAACTCCTTCAGGCTCGTGTTACTTGTGGAGATCAAACAACATTGTAGAGCAAACAAAGTAAGTGTAGCCAATCAGAGACGAGATGTCCAAATATCAGGAAATGACTGCAGGTCCTGTTGTCTGAAGCTACTTTCTCCTCCGGCGGAAACAGATACTTCTGGACTCCGCTCCCCCTCCGAGTACAACTTACAAGGCATTTATTACTACTAGAGATCACTGCAGATGTATTGACTAAACAAGTGTTCAACACCTTTAAAAAGATCTGAACTCTGCCTTCGAGAAGTTTGTCCATGGACAGGATCTCCAAAGGAAACATGTTTCCTGTCAGTAATAATCAGAGGATTGTTTGAAAACTACAAACTTGAGATGGTTTTACTTGCTCAGCAGAACCACCGAGCCACCTTACATCATAACCGTCTGACTCTCCTCTCACGTTCCGTCAGACATCTCCCCGTTTTGTCTCCTGCTCCGGGTGTAACGGCGGCCTCTGTTTGATGGCTCTTACCAAACACAATTCTCCAGAAAACCAATTTGCTGGGTGACAGCTAGAAGACACCCCCTTATTTATTTATCTATTTTTGTCTGTCACCAAGCGATTTGTTCCTGTGAGTTTAGGACTCTTCTATGCTGATACGTGCTAGAATTTTCTTCCAGAGTAAACAGAAAAGATGGAGTGCAGTAATAGGCTTGTAAGATTTAGCAGAGCGGCCGTGTGATCGACCAGAGACTCCTTCTGCTGGACTGAATATGTGCGGCGCAAAACAACAGTGACACTTGCACGGAGCAGTTAGACGGCAGCTAATTTACTCTTCTCTGTGAAAACAAAGCGATTCTCCTCAGATAACACGATTTCAGGGCAGAGTAAACCTCCTCTCAACAGCAGTAGATTCAGAGAAAGTCGGCGGCGGGTGACGCTTTGCTCTAGGGACGGGGTGATGAATAAACTTTCTGTGATAAATAAACGTAGAGCCTGTGTATTTAAGGGCCTCTGGGTGAGATTATTAGCAGCTCACACAGTGATTAAAGCACACTGAAGAAGTTGCCGACGGCCGCGTTCCTAATTGAACCTGCTCCTTATTTACTCATCTCAGCTGAAAAGAAGAAAGCACGGTCGGTTTACAAAAATTCGCCACCTCTTGAACTCTTCGCTCATGTAAAAGTTTCCCCTCTCGGGACAGGACGCGGTGTTCCCGCTGCGCTGAAACGCTACAGGAAGTAAAGAGAAAACAAAATCACAGAAGGATTAATTCCATTTCTGAAGGCAGGCGGTGGTAAAAGGAAGAGCAAAGAAGATGAAGGAGGGAGAAGAGGAATACATTTCACCCATTTCAGATGCGGCCTATTTTTTTGTATTAATTCCTTCATGCTTTTTAAGTTCTGAAGCACTGTGGCGCAGGAGGACAGAGCATGATTGAGAAATTCGGATGAGTATTTTTAGCCAAAGCCGTCGCTCGCCCCGAGGGAGCAGCACATGATTCCTCCTTCTTCTTTCACTTTAGTGGTTTCACCATAAACCTCTGGATTTGTACCCGTGGGGAAGAGTTCCGACTGAATCAGCTCTGTCTCTTCTGCCTCCTGATTGGCACAAGCACAGCAGCTGCAGAAAGCCCCTTCATTCCTCTCCGTGTCAGACACGATCTGCAGGGCTGCATGCTTCCAACGCACAACATCGCTGTGTTCACACTGCAGCTTCACGCTAAATAAGTTTTATTTAATGCTGGGAGACATTAAAGGACATAAACAACAAAGGAACCCAGGTGTAGTCTGAGGCCCTGTCCACACGTAGCCGGGGATCTGCCAAAACGTAGATATTTTTCTACGTTTTGGCCTGTCATCCACACGAAAACGGAGTTTTTTCACACGAAAACGAATCTTTTTAAAAATTCCGGCCAAAGTGAAGATCTGCGTTTTCTCCGTTTTGGGTGTCTGCGTGTGGACGGACAAAACCGGAGTTTTAAGGTCCGCAACGTCACTTTCCGCGACAAAAAAATGCTGACATCACGTGTGCGACCTGTGTTTACACTAGCCGGCATCATGGAAGCCCTCAGAGCTGCGCTCTGTCACTACCCGATCCATCGTCCAAGCGCTTTTTGCTTGTTTGTTTTTGCAAGCGGAATTACTGCTCCTTGCAGAAGACCACAGACGAAGGACGAGGTTAAGAACGGGGGAAGTACTGCCACCTACAGGTCTGGCATGTCCTTAACAACGTATTTATCCGGGTACGTGTGGACAGAGTTTTTTTTTTAAACGCGGTGGTGTGAATGCAAGTTTTTGGAGGGGCGGATATTCGTTTTTAAAAAACCCGGCAACGTGTGGACTAGGCCTTAGTTTGGGACTGAAAAGGAAGAGTTGAGGTAGCGGGACTCGGATTGCGTATGACCACAGTCACCAATTCTTGTCATATGTCTATGCATGCATGTCTGATCTCAGAATTGTGTGTACTGAAACTCTAATTTCCCTCTGGGATTAATAAAGTATCTTTGAATTGAATTAGGCTTAAGGGGGATGTGATGCTGGGTGTGTTTGCTGTCAAATTTTAAAGTATTTATTTACTTATTTGAAAAAAGAAGGATAAAAAAATTCTCATGTGACTAAGTGATCTTTTTGTGCACCACTCTGAATTGTTTCAGCAGCCTTGTCATGGATAGTTTAGCATATTTTGCTGCTAAAAGAAATCTTATTGCTGCTCACAAATGTGAGTACACCATGACCCATAAAGTCCTGAAGGAGAATGTATGACCTTGAACAAAATAAATAGGTTTACTTAATGCGTACAAAAATACAATATTAGTTGTGCTCGTTAGTTTTAATTCAGAAAAAAATCGCACAATTATTTTGCTTTCTTTAGTTCTTCATTTACACGGTGTGATGAGGGTTTGTTTTTATCTTTGCCGACATACTTTGACGTCACTGCCGCCTTCGTTAGGATAACCGCCCAAATTTTGCACAATTTTCTGCTAATTTGCACAATATTGATTTTAATATAAATGCACCATTTTTAAAATATCTTATTCATGAACTTGTCTTATAAAGTCTCTCTAAAATCATAAAATACAACACTGACCATGATGATGTGTTGTTGGTCCAGGTTATCCAACTTCTAACTGGTTCCATGAGAAGGTATTTTGACTGTATTGATGCCCAGGGGTGCAACAGTGTTTGGGGTTTAGAGTCTTTAGCCCCACACCTGCAGATTAACTCACTCACTCTGTTTAACATCGTTTTAAAAGAAAAGGATTTCCCCAAACGTAAGCACTAGACTCAACTAAGCTACAGTAGCAAATCTACAGAACAAGCTAGCTTTAAACAAGCAGAAGCAGGCCCCTCTGCGTTAGCTACCAGTCATGTAACACTCACCCCTCCCGTCGGCTATCACCTCAAGTATGTCTGATACTGGAATTGGCATTGCCAGAGGAAACGACGTTGTGCTTAACACCAGTCGCTGTTTTCCAGGTCCAAACGTCTTTTGTTGACCGTGAATTCAAACGGTGTTTTTCTTTTGGGATTCTGATACTTTGTCCTAAAGTTGAAGTGGCAGTCGGCTTTTTCTCCTGCTCTGATGTTATTGAGCCGCACCTCTCACACCTGCTGTGTTCTGCTGCAGAATACAAGAGCGCCTAATGAGGTGAGGACCCAGGGAAGTGCAGCAGTTTGGTGAAACCAAAAACCAGATGGTCCAATTTGTTTGTTTTTTTAAACTGAGTCTACTTATAGACAAATGCAAGAGAACCACTTCATTATTTATTTATTTACTATATAAATTTAATATATTTATAGCTATGTTGGAACGTTGTTAAGTGGCATGAAAAATGTTGATCTGTAGATTTGCTATTGCAGCTTTAAGTCTGGTGTTAGCCGTCAAATCTAATAAACTGCTCAGCAAACCGATCTGCTTGTAAAAATAAACCTGGAAGATTTTTGTTTCTTCACTGAAACAAATATGCAACGCATTTTGGTGTCAGGAGAATAAATGAGGAACGGCTGACTGGTCTAAATTTGGAAAATGCCTCCCTGATGTTGCATCGTGGGAATTGAAGTTCTGTTCATGTTTATCTACAGGAACTTGCACAGATTCTTTCCAGAAGCCACAAACTGAGAGGTTAAAGTTCAAGCGTGCAACATTCATCAGAAAAACAGACATTTTGGAATTTAATGTGTTTTTTTTATTCAACCCGAAGAGAGAGAACAATTTTATCAGCGCTATGAAATATTTAAAAGTTCCTTCAGTAGCAGTGGCTGTACCTGGAACAGTCAGTGTGCTCCGTCTCCCTGGCCTCCCACTGAACTCTAACAGATTGACTTTTCCCACCATGAATCTGAACCTTTGGTTCTGTAGCCTCGTTGACTCTAATTAGCCACTGCGGCATTTCCCACGTCTTGCGACAGCTTGTACCGACATCCAGACCTGCTCCTGTTTCCCCCCTCCTCTCCTCATTCTGCATCCAGCTCTTTGTCTTGGAGCTTTCCCATGAGCTCCAGCTGTTTGGCCTGCGGTAACTGTTGCCACATACAGCGCTCTGCTGGGATCCCAGCCATCATGCATCTGGGACAAAGCCCCACCCGACCCCCACGGGGGATCCCCCCCAACCCTTCCCGTCCTTCCTCATCTCCTCTCTAGTATAAATTCTGTCTTCTAATCTAATTGCGTTCATTTCTTACCATTACCATGCGGACTGATGTCGGCTGATGTCGGCTGACAGAAGCGCTGAAACACAGCTGGTTGCTTTCTGAACGAGACCATCATCAGCGGCTATTTGCTGCAGGTTTTCATCCCCTGAGCGATGGGGGTTGCTTAACTTCGGAGTAAATAACGCTGAGACGGAGCTTTTTCTACAACTTTGTAACTTGCTTTTTGCTTCTTTTTTTTTTTACTTCTAGCCACTCGGAGCAGTTCATTACCGTCAGACAACTGTCAGCTCTGTTTGGACAGTTTAGCAACACTGAATAAAGACGTGATAAATAAAGAAAGCCATGCTAATATGCATAAATAACTGGAAATGTAACTTCAGTTAGTCTCCGTGTCTGATCTCCATCGGTTTCTAGGTTTGATCTCAACATAAGGAACTTAAATGTAGGATTCATCAGATCAAGCTGGACGCAAAAGAAAAATTGTTCTAAAAAGACTCACTGAAGCATCTTGGAACCAATCATTTTGTTTTTGCTAACTTACTAAAAAGAAAAAGGTGAGAAAAGAATATCTTAAGCAAAGGTTCCCAGATGTTTTTGGTTTAGAAAGAAAAATCTACAAAGACTCATGACCCTAAATGTTGCTGGTTGATTAGCATAAAGGCATAAAGAAAACACAAAAAGCTTCAGCTCTTATTGTACAACTATTTATTCATGATTCCATCTACCTTTCATCATTTATAGTAAAAACATTGTATTAGATATCCTCTGAAGACCTCAAACGTAGAGTTTCATGTCCCATTGGGGGTCCCCAACCCCTACGTTTGAAACCACTGATCTGAAGCACTCTCCACTAAAGTAAAGCATGACTGGTTTTGGTCAGATGACATGCAGGAACTGGAAGATCTGCTTCTTTTGTTCAAAGCAACACTGTGGAAAGTTTTCACGGTCTGATGATCGCAGCAAAGCAGTGAGATGAGGAAGTATGGAAAGCCAAACACATCCTAATCTCAACAGGTCATAAGTTTAGTGCGTTCATTCTGTGTTTCTTCTGATTGCTTAATTTGGTTGTTTTAAACACAGAAAAAGGTTGTTTAACCTTCTTTTTTGCTGACAGTTTTGACCACTCCTGCTGTCTTCTTCAGAGCTAGCCACTAATGGCAGCGTCACTCCCTTCTCCACGCCTGGGCAGCAGAGGACGATGCCACCCTCTCTTTGCCGATGACACAGCCCCATGCGTAATTTAATGGGTAGACCCCATCGTACCTGTTCATGGTTGTGTCCACGTCTCCTTATTTCTATGGCTTCCTTAATCCATCTTTTGTATTTTTGATGGCACTGTGTCTACGGCAAGGAGAGCGCGGGCAGCAGAGGATGGTGTTGCACTCTGCTGCCCGCAGACAAACGGAGAAGGAAGTGACGCCACCAACAGCGGCTAGCTCTGAAGAAGGCCACAGGAGTGGCCGAAACTGGCAGCAAAAAATGAGGTTAAACAACCCTTTTCTGTGTTAAAATAAGAACCAAATAATGCGATCAGGTAATGAGTTATTTTTGAAATAACAATAAAGGCTGGTAAAAGTGTTTTAAAAACATTTCCTTAGTTTTTCCCTGAAATATGAGAATGCTAAACACAATAAATGAAAATATGACCAATATTAACATAAAATGACAGAAGTTAGACTCAAGAACCTCCTTTAAAGGTGTGGTTTACACGTTTATTCATACAGTTGCAGTGTTCTGTGTAACTCAATGCCTTAGTCATGAAAAAGCTGTGATGCTCCTGTTCTGAGATGCAGAAGTTTGCTGGTGCAGAGGTGGGCTGAAAACAGCTGGATTGCTCAATATTATCAATGATATGCACACACCTTGTTTCTGATTGGCTAACAGAACGCGTTCAGCCATGTTGCAAGGTCACTATCACCAACACACTCTCCGCTCTCTCTCCTCGCTGTAAACATTTTTTAAAGACTTCCTGTGGGCGGGTGCGAGTCAAGAAGTGCAAGGCCATGAATGCAAATTCACAGTGTGACATCACAGTGTAAAGATTTATAAATCCTAGCATTTCACCATCTATTTTCTATCGGAAGCTAATGCAGGAGATAGGTGTAAGAGACTGTTTTCATGTTCAGCCTGCACGAACAACTCAGTGGGACTGATTATAATCCAAAATAATCATTAAAAAATGTTTTTTCAGCCTTTGACAACTCAAATGTGTACAACATGGAGCTGAACTTTGCTTTGGTCTGACGTTAAGAGGAGAGGATTGAGTTTTATGTGGTATGAAACTGTGGAAACCCAGACTTTACTGGCTGATTCTAACCAAGTAGTCCTCCGTTCTGGTCCTCAGGGCCCAATGTCCTGCATGTTTGAGGAGTTTCAGCACACCTGATTTAAATGATTGAAATACCTTTTCAGCAGTTCAGCAGAAATGCGTTCCTGACCCATAAATTCAAATTAAGTGGTCTCTGGGAAAACATGCAGAGCAGTGGGTCCCAGGACCGGGACTAGGATGCACCAATTAAGGTGACAAATGTAAACATTAGTGGGACAGATATGGGACAAACTCACACTTGTAATAACTGCTGCTACAGTTCTAAAATTATCAGCTTTTTTTCAAGAAAGGACAAAATAAAACCCCATGGAAGGAAAACTAAGCCTCCTGCTTTGCAGATGCTAATAGATGATTTATTCAAATGCTAATAGTTGATTTATTCAAACCTTCTTCATCTATAATCAGAGTAGAAAACACATTTTCTCTGACGTTGTTCGTGTCATTGAGCGACAAAGGTAGAAAACAAGCAAGTTTCATTGTAAAACCAGGTTTTCGTCCTTCAGATGTTCGCCTGCGCTTTGTTTATTTCAGTAGCTGTGGATATGGAATTAGATGGAGAAATAAACAAGGGAACGAAATGACAGGAAATTAAATTTTACCTCCCAGTTCTTGAAGCAAATGTTGTGTTTTGTTTCCTGGAAAAGAATCTAAACGGCTGTGATGGCCATGGATACTGGTGATTTGTTTGGAGTAAACAGAGAAGTGGCTGATTAATGAAGGTGGGCCGTGACCACAACAATGTCTGATGGACCCAGACAGCGGTTCTGGTTCACAGCCAGATCATGCTGGACAGGTTCCTCTGAAAGGAGATGAATAAAAGCCAAATATGCTGGTATGAGTGTGACTGAGTTAATGAAAGTGTCCCAGTTTAACTCTTTGTGTCCTCCTGTGTCTCTCAGGTGGAACCTCAACGCTCCGACTCTCGTCAGTTAGAGAGCTGCCCGATCAGCTGCAGGAACTCTACCAGCAGGGTTTTGTCCTGGCAGCCGTTCATCCGTTCATCCACCCCTGTGGTCCAGAGTCCAACAGCCCCCAGCACCAGCTCTACCGGGCCATACTGATCCGGATCAGTGAAGGGTATGAGAGTTCTGATGGTTATTTATCTAACTTACGTCCTGTTTATAGGTCTTGTTCAGATGGATTTGCTGCCTTGTGGGTCTCTACTGCCTCTATACAGGGGGTTCCACGAAAATAAACAATCAAGGATGAACAAGAGTCTGCTTCTAGACCTGCAGAAAGACAAAAACAAACAAACAAAAAAATATAAGGGACACACAGCAATACAACTAGAGCAAGCTATCACTGCGTCAACCTGATGAGGAAATTTAAAATCAACATTGTTTTACTGAACAATCACAAGATAATAAATCACACTGCATTTAATGCCAACCACAGCCTTAAGACATGTTGAAAATGCCCAAGTCCATGCTTATGAGAGCACCATGTGAGCACCTTTGTGTGTACACGCGCTTGTATACGTAAGGTTTCTCTATAGGAGCATCCAATAGAGAGTGTGAAGGGCCACAGATCTGCCCCCCAAAGATGTGTTGGAGATGGAGGGAGCTCCAAGTCCCAAAGATCCAGGATCTGCCCCAGAGTGCAGGAGTTCCAGGGAGACTAACCTGAAAAGCCCCAGCCCCCTCTCAAAAAGCGAGAGGATCTCCCCGGGGTCACAACCGGCAGCCGGCAGAGTCCCAGGGCATATCAGCGGCAAGTCCACAGGCCTGCCAGCAGCCTCCCACCCCCAAGCCGGCTGAGCCCGGAACCCAGCGACCCGGGACCCAGGGGCGAACAGCCCCGCCAGGGACCTAACAGAGCCCAGGGACTCAGATCCCACCAGGCAGCCACCGGGATCGATCAGACAGATGCCAAAAATCTTAAGCTTTCTGACCCGGGAGCCGCGAACACTCAGGCAGACCAAGGCACCACACTCCACACCAAATGTGGCAGGAGGAGGGGAGGCGAAGATGTGTAGCATCACAAGAAGTCCCAGGAGAGGGGAGGAGTCCAAGACCCCACCTGACATATACAGCCATACACAAACACAGTCACACACTCCCTCCCTCATGCTCACACATACACATACAACCTAAGACTTACAAAAATGAACACTATACACCCACTCACGCTCCTCATACACACCCTGATACTGATGCTGATCAGCAAAGGGTATGAGAGTTCTGATAGTTATTTATCTAAGTTACGTCCTGTTTTTAGGTCTTGTTCAGATGGATTTGCTGCCTTGTGGGTCTCTACTGCCGCTAAAAACACACATAAAACACCTGTTCACATGTTTTCTTCCCTGTGTTTGGTTTTAGGAGATATGTGCCTAAGACAAGTTGTTTCAAAAAGACCCTGTTTGTGATGTCACAAGCAGGGAATTTAGCATAGAACCACTTCTCACGTACAAGAGACAGCAGCTGCTGGAATAGCAGTGACTCTACTCTATACCCTTCCCAGAAAACTGAGCTTCTCAGCTTATAGCAGTTTGAGCGCAGGATAAGAGAGCTAGGCTAGCTCCAGCTTGTTTTATTAAAGTGGCAGAGCCCCAAAACGGCTCATTCTGGAAGGTACTGAAACTGTCTCACATTGCTTCATGTGAGACCAGAAAACTAATATACGTCTCTAAATAAAAAAGTAATTGTAAAGAAAAATGGCAGAAAATGTATTCTTTTGCAGATTCATGTTTGATATTAAGGGTTGTTTTGGTACTATTAAGAGTTCATATTTGGATTGTGAGCTATTATTTTCTTTAGCGCTGTGGCATTGCATCCTACCAGTTTGGTAGCAAACTTGAAAAAATTGGATCTTTGTTTTCATCCTGACATAAAAAGACGGTGTGATGTTTGAATTAGTACCCCATCTATATACAGGCTGATGTTCAGACGTGTGCTGGCTTGTTGTTGATGCAATTGATATTATTGGCGCCTATCTCCAGCAGTAAATGGGCAATCAGGCAGGGTACATCCTGGACAGAGAGCCAGTCCATCGCAGCAGAAAGTTACAGTAGAAAGCAAATTTCCTTTCATATTCATCCTGATCCCTATTTTCTAAATTATGGTTTGATTTAGCAACACTGCTGACAACTACTCACCTGGATCCACTCACATACAGTGGTGTGAAAAACTATTTGCCCCCTTCCTGATTTCTTGTTCTTTTGCATGTTTGTCACACAAAATGTTTCTGATCATCAAACACATTTAACCATTAGTCAAAGAGAACACAAGTAAACACAAAATGCAATTTTGAAATAATGGTTTTTATTATTTAGGGAGAGAACAAAATTTTGTGTGACAACATAAGAAATCAGGAATGGGGCAATTAGTTTTTCACACTGTAATTTCTCCTATTGTCAGCTGCTGTTTTTTCTCCTGACTTTAGTTTTTTAATTCTCTCTAAACATGGCTAAAATTCGTACTGTTTCCCTAAAATGAAAGTTAAATAAAGTCCAGCAGTTCCACGTGTTTAACACAAAGCCTCCATGCTATCAGACAAGCTAAAGGTGACAACCGGAGGGACGGGGGCCTCATTAAGGAAATGTATTTCACTAAACAAATAAGACTGCCCCCGAGGCAAACATCTTTCAGGGGCCTCAGACATCGTAGCTGCACTCCTGGGAATTAGACCTTTACCAGCACAAAATAATGAAGCCATTACAGTCACTTAAGAAAGCATGTTGAGATTACTAATGCACCTTAATTGGTGTCATTATGCAGAGAAGACTTAGTGGGAATCAGATCGTAAATGGTACAAAAATGTTATTCTGCCTAGCTGCTGTCTGACATTAGCCTCTGCATAATGATTATCCTCAGAGCTCAGATATCAGAAATTACTGTTTCATTTGGGAAGCATGCAAACAGAAAGGTCTTCCTCAGTCGTCGGAAAAACTAACGGAGGTCAGGCGGAGAAGCTCGTGAGCCGAGCAGCATCTGTTCGCTGTCCCACCAGCCTCTTTCAGCGTTCGCCAACCGCTGCTGCACAGCCAAAAGCCGCCGTCGCCTCTTCATCCACACTCCAGTCCTGTGCCCAGACACACACACACACACACACACACACACACACACACACACACACACACACACACACTCTCTTTTAGCTCAGAACCAAGTGGGTGGGCAGAAGGCTCCTCCACTGTTGGTACTGAAGGGCATGAAGGCTTTATTCCACCTAAACACCATGATGTCTGGATACAAAACTGTATTTTTATTAACATACAGAAGAAAAAAAACATATTTCAGATGACAAGTCTATAAAACTGTATTTTCCTATACCGATGACCCCGGGGTCCAGAAACCTGAGCAGCGTTCAGGACCACAAACATAAATAAATACTCTCAGCAGAAGCTGAAGCTCCAGTGGCGGCTGCTGCTCTAAATCCAGCCCTCTGTATAAAAACACAAAGCTGTCACCTTTGAATAATCTGTTTCACACATTAATTCTAGTTTTTTCTTCAGTTGATGTGAGTTTTGTGTCTGAATAAGCCCTGCCCTGATTTTCCCTGTTCAAATTCGGCTCAGTTAGATTCCTCACAGCTGAAACTAGAATTCCTGACTGCTCTGGAACGTTTTCTACAGCTTGTTCACTGCTGGACGAAAGTAACATTTCAGCCCTTTGACTAACTCTTTCACCCACGGAACGATAACTACAGAAAACTAACATGGAATCAGGAGCTGCCATGACTCAGCTGTGACCAAGGCTGGATTATAATATGGGCAAACTGGGCACAGGCCCAGGGTCCCACAACCACAAGGGGGCCCACGCGAGCAGCAGTCTTTTATTTTATTTATTTATTTTTTTGTGCAGCAGTCTTAACGTTGGAAAAAAAAAAGTTAACAAGTAATTAAACTTGTGCCTGCACTTTCTAAGTTAACACACATTTCTTTTAACAACGGTAGTTTTTGCATCTTTACTGCCTGCTTCAGATCAACCCCCACCCCCCACCCCACCCCCAGCGCAGCGGCCACTGACTCACTGATGCGCCTGCAGCCTCTCCGAGTTCCTGCTGATCTAAACATTGATAGAATCATTTCATTTTCTGTTCCTCACTTCTGATTACCTTCAGCGGTGTCTATTTGTTGCTACCAGGTACAAAAACAAACTTGTTTTTTATTTGACAATTTTTCTGTCCTGTCTGTTTATTATCTTCCTGCATCTCCTCTCAATCATATATTCACTCATATATTTTCACCTCATGAGTTACCATTGAACTGCAGTTCTAAAAGATCTACCGACCGCAAAAATAGCGGAGTGCGCGCTGCGCGCCGGCCACCCCAGTGCGATGACGTCACCAGAGGATGAAACAGGTGATGCGGTCGCTCCGCAGCAGCGAAACGTATCAGACACAAATAAAAGACAGAAAGCATGAAAGGATATGAGCCGACATGAACGATCGCGTGTTAAATTTGTTTTTGAGGTGACGACACTTTGATAATGTTACTGCGGCCTTGCTCAGGACGCATCTGTGTGGAGCGCATCAACGATCAGAGCTCTGCACCTCTCCGCTCAAAATAATCCCCAGATAGTCCACATTGATAATTTAATATAAGCAGTACAAGCATCTTTTTTGGGCTAAAAAATTGTCTACAGTCCATCTTCCCTAATGTGTTCGTGGCCCTGCAGATTTTTCCAACTCTACCAGTTACAAATTGTGAAGGGGAACGATCATTTTCAGAAATGGTAAGAATAAAAACTGAACTGAGAACATTGTGCCCAGCGGCTCCTGCAATGATAATCCGGCCCTGGCTGTGACCGAAAGGATTGTTTGAGAAAAGAAAGGAAGAAGACGTCTACAGCATCTCTAGGATGTACCTCAGGAAACATTTGATACACTGTAAAATAAAACAGAATGAAACTGTGTTCATTTTTGTTGTAAAGTAGTAAGAGAAGCCATCATAAGCCTGATTGGTTGGTTTCCCCCTGGCTGTTTGGTTCCCTAAGCACAGTGCTCGATGTGTGAGGGCAGAGTGCAGGCGGTGCCTCAGCCACCGCCATCACTGTAGTTTTTCTCCATCGCATCAGTGCTTAGCCCTCCCAGTGTAAAGTGTTGTGATTGGCCTGGTCTAAACTTAGCCTGGCCAA